TCACCTTTATGTTAGTCACCCAGCCTTTTAAAACCCGTGACAATTTCTGTTGTTTGTGATACTGTGCTGGAGCAGCCCTAGGAAATGTATAAACCTATATTGATGAGGGGGATAGACAGAGGGTAAGAGACAAAATGCTGAAGCTGAAAACACACAGATGAACACATGGTACAAACCCAAATCACTGGGGAGGATGCTGACTGGCAGTTCACCAATCACAAAATTGCACTTCGAATTCTCATCTGAGATAGTAAATCCTCTTGCTGCTTATTGTTTAGGTAACTTTACACATTGTCCTCTGTTACCTGCAAAGAGTGTATCATAAATTATATACCCTGAGCTTGTACTTTTCAGAATATATTATTTAAAAAGTGTTTTCTATTTGAGGGGCAGAAAAAGAGTGAGAGAGGAAGGGAGGAGAAAAAGAGGGGGGGGGGGGAGGAGAGAGAAACAGAAGCTCCCAAGCTCTAGTTCACTTTGCAAATGCCAATGACATCTGGGGCTGGACCAGTGAGTGACCAGAACACAATTACTTGAACCATCACCATTGCATCATTAGCAGGAAGCTGGGATCAGGAACTGGAGCCAGGCATCAAACGCAGGGTTTCCAGTGCAGGAACCAGGAACTGCTCAGCTAAATTGCTATTCCCTCGATCTTTGGTTTCAAGTGTTCTAGTTCATTGCTCACATGAGCATAGTTAGACTTCTTAGGGATTACTTTCTTTTCTGTGGTTCAAAAAAGAAGGTTATTGTAGCAATTGTGCTTGGAAGCAGGCAGAAATGAAGAAAGGAAAGCTTTGGAGACTGAGGGCAAGATGATGATGCCCAGAGCCACTGAAGGGGTGGTTTGGAGACTGCTGAGTGGTTAGGATGGAAATCAACAATGACAGTTCAGTCTTCAGTTATGAGATGTAATGAAGCAGAGTAGTCAATTTTAAATAGAGAGTGGATTTGTGGATCAAATCTAATTAAGATTTCTCTGGTGGATGGCAACTTGATATTTACATAAAGACCAAAGATTTTTAAATTTAACAATTAAAATAAAAACCACAGGCACATTCACTGAACAACATAAACTAACAAGATTTTAAATGCAAATGCTAAAAATAAGCCATGTAGCTACCTGAAAACATTTTACACACACATTTGCATGTATGCCAGGGGACAGAAAACATTATATAGTGACAGGAACGGTCTCAAGGGACAACATTAATAACATCAAAGTTTTATATGAGAAAAAATTCTGGTATCCCATTGCAAAATGTGTAAGTAGATGACTTTCATGACTGATTTTAGAAGAAAAATCAGAATTCCAAATTAATACTTGCAGAGCTTTCAAAATGACTCAGCTCTCACCCCCATTCACTGCCCACCCCCAGGCTCAGAGAACCACATTTAGTTAGAGCCATCCACTGTTACTGGCTTGTCAGGTGTACAGAACAGAAGAAGCCAGAGAATCATAAAAACACTATCTTTAGCTGAAAAATGAGGTTTGTCTCAAACACAATTCAAACTACCCTCAGAAAAGAAGCAACTCACTTAGAACTTACTTAGAAGTTGATACCACTTGATGATTCAGACTGTAGAGCACATGGAAATAAACAAAGAATAGGGTAATTTTTATTTTAATTAAAATGTTTCCCCATAGTAGATGTTTTCTCTAACCCCACATAACTAGGCAAGCATTTTTATAAACATAGTCCTTCCAAAAGAAGGGTAGCATTGCCTCTTTATGACTTGATTTCATAAGGTATTTTCCTGAAAAACAACTAAAACATCAACTTTATCAAAAATAAAAAATAATAATAGACATAGATTTAAGATTTAGGGCCAGTGTGTGACACTGCAGGTTAATCCAACGCTTGTTGCTCTTGCATCTCATATTAGAGTGGAAGTTTGAGTCTGGGCTGCTCTGCTCAAAATCCAGCTCTCTGTTAATGCATCTGGGAAGACAGTGGATAATGACCCAAGTACATTGGTCCCTGCCACTATGTGGAAGACCTGGATGGGATTACCGGTTCCTGACTTCAGCTAGACTAAGCCCTTGTTGCTGTAGGGATTTGAGGAGTTAACCAGCAAATGGAAGATCTCTCTCTCTCTCTTTCTCTCACTCTCTCCTCTCTTATGCTCTGCATTTCAAATAGCAAATTTTTGAAGAAAAAGAATTAAGATTTCATGTTGAATTTACAACCTTCTCTTTCTGTAGTTGGTTTACAAGAGCAAGCCCTATTCTAGTCTGGATTACTCAGCTGATTTTGTATATGAGCCACTTATTTTTGTAAACAGTTACCACACCAGTTTTATTTCTTTTTTAAAGATTTATTTATTTGAAAGTCAGAGCTACTCAGAGAGAGAAGGAGAGGCAGAGAGAGCGAGGTCTTCTATCTGTTGGTTCACTCCCCAACTGGCAGCAATGGCCAGAGCTGCACCGATCTGAAGCCAGGAGCCAGGAGCCTTCTCCAGGTCTCCCATGCGGGTGCAGGGGACCTAAGGTCTTGGGCCAACTTCCACTGCTTTCACAGGCCATAACAGAGAGCTGGATCGGAAGAGGAGCAGCTGGCACCCATATGGGTGCCCATATGGGATGCAGGCACTGCAGGCCAGGGCATTAACCCAATGCACCATGGCACCGGCCGCTACACATTGTTTTTAAATGCATATCCAAACAGTTATATACTCATAGGTGCTCTAAATTATATTTGCATGTTCTTCTGTTAACCTCTTTTCCTACAAAAATAAAGCCTTTCCCATTAACATCTAGAAAACAGATCAGCAGAAACTATGCTTCTGAAGGCCTTAGCCAACATGACAGTCTTTGATAATCTCTGCCTCTGTCTCCTCTCTCTTTTTCTCCCTCCCCCTTTATGCCTCTCTTCAGCTCCTAAAAATGCATAACACACTTGCCAAGATGCTCACTGCCTTCAAATCCTTGTCAATGTCCAGGCTGATTTCAGTATCCATGCTAGATTAGAAACCCCTCAAGGACAAGAACCTCCTTGCCTCTTCTGTGTTGTCCTCACTCAGTCCCCATTAGCTCACACAGGAAGGACTTTTAAGCGAATGCTGACTGTCTGACTTAAACCTGCTTTCTTTCTTCTGGGTGTACTAAGCTCATCAGCAGCTGGTTGAGCATGCTGATTTGAAAAGCTTCTCCAATGTATATAATAAGTGATACATTTCATGTTTGGTGAATAACTGCTCTCACTTTAAAATTCTAAAGTACAGCATAAAAATAGCATATGACAAGGCTGTCCATCTGGAAGTTGCATTCTGTGCATTACGAAGTGAGAAGACAGTAAATCCTGAAGAGGATTCAAATTGGAGAGACCAGGAAAGTGTTTTGCCAACAGGAAAGGAAGATGATTGCTTTTCTCCAACCGTGCCATGTTGCCAAGTATAGGAATCCAGCTGTTGTGTAAGATTTATATTCATTTCACTTAACTATAAATGCATCATGCATCATTTTTCTTTAATTACTCAGATTAGCTGGGTAGGTGTAGGTGATGCACTGAGGTCTGAACGAAATCAAAATGAGCCACTGTGATAAAGTGAAAGGAAAATATTTTTATAGTCAATGGGAGAAAAAAGTATGTTTATGTAAAAAAATAAGATCTTGTCACTGCAACAATCTAATTAGCATTAAACTCTCTTTAGTTAGCCATGACTGAGAATCTTCCAATTATAGATAAAGCAATTTTGTAGAAGAAATCTATACCAATTTTTAAGACTTAATGGCTTTTCTATTTTGTACCCTCGTATTCATGGCATTTTGATGGGCAGCATTATCCTCTGTAGGCATGCTGCATTTCTCTTTCTTCAAATCTCTGAAAAGCTTTCAATTTCTTGAATTCTGACATCAGAATTCCTGGCCAGATTTTCAAATCCTCTATCAACTTCTTCTGCCCTCCAGTTCTTATGTAAGTTCCCCATCCAATTTTTGTCTGTTGAGTAGTTTTTAAAACTTTTTCAAAATGTTCCATGTCCTCAACCTGGGCCTGTTCTGTTGATTGTATTCAGAAATAAATTTTATCTCTTATTGGAAACCTTTATCGGCTGTTTAGACTCAGTTCCAAATCCTAATGGTACATGTTTCATCAGTGTATCTATTTAAGTTTATCTGAATATTTTCATTAAATGTGCTTATCATCTGTACACATGAAAATATTTTTATTCACTGATAAATGATTGATAAGTAGAATACAATTTTGTTACTCTGATGTTTTATACATTATAATTGTGTTGAAAATCACAGCTGTATTTTATAATGTTGGTATTGTGTAAAACTTTTTGGCATCTAGAATAATGTCACACACATAGCAGACAGCACAGTGATTAGTGCAAAGTAATGCACTTCCATTATTATATCTTCCGGTTTTCCTTACAACCTTTATAATGTCCTACAAGTATACAGCTCCTGTCAAAATCACAGATTTTGATCCCCTTCAGATGGCAAAGCAATAATTGTCTTATTAGTCATTATTATGTAGTACATCATTATAAGCACAGTATTCCACAACCATTTATGATTTTTATTAATCATTTTAATTGCCTTATTGCACTGAAATGCCTCAGCTGCTCGCTATGGATGGCACTACAATAAGCTCCCTTTATCTTTCATTCCACTCTGATTCTTGTGAACTCTCAAATTTCCTTAGTTTACAGCTTTCTGTAGTAGTCCATTTTCCACTAAATGAAATACCTAAGTCAAATCAAATTTATGAAAAATAGATTTTGTACCTCAAAGTTTCGGAGGTTCAAGGGCATGGTGCTAGCATCAGCTCGGATACCCTTTCTGGCTAAGGTACCTCATGGCCTTGGCAATGATGGGAGTGTGTGTAGGACAGAGTGATCACATTAGCAATAAGGAAACCAGACAGAAACTCAAGAATCGACCTCTGGCTTTTATAACAACTAGTTCTTGTGAAGATTTCCAAGATGTCACTAGAGAATTTCCTTAATTATTTCCACAGCAGTGCCTTCAATCAACAACTAGAGCTCACCCTTAAAAGTTGCGTATCATCTCCCAGTGCTGTCCCTCGGGGGTCAACGGTATCCACATATGAACCTTTGGGAGACATTCAGACCACAGCATTTTCCTTCATGTAACAATGTAACCAATACTATCTTGCAAATGTAAATTACCTGCATTGTCTTGAGCTAATGCCAACTTTTAGATTCTTGCCTTAGACTCAATACAGTGCTCATCACAACCAAATCAGTGCATTAATCTAGGGTATGTGAATATCATCGCATTTTCAGGAAAAGAATGAGACAGCAATGTAAATGTGTGTGACAAGAACTGGAAAATTATGGTTGCTTTAAGTGACTATTTTGTCTTTCTAATGACTGAACTCCAAGAAAGAAATGTTTTGAGTTTCTTAAAAATCGACTAGTTTTTATTACTTCTCTCTTTGAAGACACAGAGACTTGTACAACATCATATATGAAGGAGATGATTTATCTAGTTAAGCATGCAGTGAAGAATCACCTGGATCAGAGAAATATTTTCACTTACATAGGGGAGCATGTTACATTTTACAACAAACACAAGAATATGGTCCACTACATACATGATTGGTTCACTCACTATGCATTTTAACAAAAGAACATAGAAACTATTAAGTTCCTTTTTTGTTAAAGTATGCTCTCTCTCTCTCCATCTCTCTCTCTCTCCCTTGCTATATGTGTATGTATTAAACATTCCATTTTCCCAACTTAGGAAGCAGTAGAAATGATATATTTCTGGAGGTCTGTTCCATAATATTCCTTTTATTTTATTTTTATTATGTGTGTATATGTGTATGTTCTCTCTTTTTCAATGATATTTCTTTGAGGTACCTAAAACGCTATAGAAAGCACTATTAAAGGGCTTCAAGTCCTTAAATTTAGTGTCAGAACTGTGCAACAAAAAATGATCCCATAAATAAGAACGATTTTTAAGCACTAATGTTTGAGGCTTTTAAAATAGGATTCTGGAGTACAATGTTTCAAAAGGGTCATAGAAAATCCTATGGAGAGCAATATGACTTTGAGTGGGGAAAGAAGGATGTATCACATATGGCTTACAAATTGCTTCTTCGGATTCTTCACATTTGCAAAACTCAAGAACAGCAATTCCGATTGGCTCAACAAGTTTAGGCAATTACCTCACAGATGCAGTAACACTGAAGGAAGTTCAGCTCAATTTCTGCAAGCACAAGTCCAAATGCGAACTGCAAGCAAAGCAACCAGTAGTGATTTTCTCCCCCCCAGTTCATAATGCTCTAGGCAAGGGACTCATTCCTAAGGGCTGGGAAGAGGGGAGAATACAGAGCAATGTGTTGTGATTTCAGTGAGTGCTGCTCTAGGCACTGGTCGGGCCAGGGGGGAATGCAAATCAGAAGGAAAAATAAAGGAGTGACTGGGAATAATAAATGATAAGAACATCAGTAAAAACATTTTTATAAAACTATAAATTCAGAGAATCAATTTGTCCTCCTGAGACCCAAAAACTTTTAAAAGAAGTCATCTAATCTTGAGAGGACGGGATGTGTTAATACTAGACTTGAGGATGTTTAAGCTACTGTTACTAGTTTGCTGATATTGCTGTTTCTGGCTTCAAAAATGGCTTTCGGGTAGGTAACAATCTTTCTTTGAAAATCTGTCTGCCCTGCTGACACTCTCTGATCACATTGCTTACTCAGACCAGGTGTTTCATGAAACCAGCTTTAAGTGCCAATAATGAAGCACCTCAGAGGTTCTATGTCTCAGCACAGATGGATGTAGTTCTGAAGTCTGAAATCTCCGGTGGGCTCAAATTTGGAAATTTAAAGCAAAGAGCAAATAGTTTTCCTGTGTAATGTTAATGTCTTTCTCTTCTTTAGAAAATACGTGGGCTTCATGTGTTAGAAATGGATGTTATTTCCCTTACATTATGGCACCGTAGGAAAGATCTGGGAGGCAAAGAAGCTTTTATTCTCATTATCCTGTGTATGTGGAAGCGCTGAGAAATATGAAATCCTTCACTGGTGCAGACTAAAAGATTTCCATTTCATCTGGAGGGGAAACGTGCCAAAGTGGCTGAAAATAATTCAAGTAATTGGCAAAGAGCTGTACTCTAAGGAGCCTTTTGGTGTAATTTGATTTTGTGCCTTTTAGGGGAGCAAGTGAGATATGAGTCTATCTGCCCCAGACGGCCAAGAGACTTTAAACACTACACAGTCTTTAAGGTAGATGATGATGAAGTGCAATGTCAAAAGACAATCCAGAATTATGATATCCTCAAGACATAATAATAAAGATAATGTTGAACTGAATTAGAGAAGCTATGCCCCTTACCATGAATAGTTCGTACTTTGTGAAACAGTGAGAACAGTTTTCCTTCAAAACTAGATTTTCCTCTGCTTACAAAATCATGGGATTGTTGCTAAATTCCATACGTGCTGCTAATTCTTAAAGGATGAAAATAACCGACTTGGTCAGAATCACTATATATTAATGGACACCGATGGCATAATACCATCTTAGTTACCACACGTGCTAAATAAATTTGTGTGGTAGCCAAGTTTGTTTTGGATCACTCCCACATAAGTCCCCATCAGCATCCCTTCTCATTACGGTCTCTTTGCATCTCTTGGATCTTCTTCAAACAGGAGATTAGATCTATTCATTTTCCATTTATTCCTCTTCTATTGCAAAGGAAAGGACAGTTTGATGTGTTACTTCTTCATTCTAGAAGATGTCAGTTCCTTGAAAATAATTTCAATGGTGGAATTTTAAACATCTTTCTAAAATATAATCATTCCAGTAGTGGATTTTAAGCATAGTTTATGCAAAGAAATTTTAAATTTTCTTTTTTTTCCCTGGGGCTTAACACATAAGGCAGACTCAGACTGTATTGATAATTGTCTCATGGAAGTACTTAGCTTTAAGTTGTCTTTCCACTTTTGCAGGTAACTCATAACTTCAGCATTGGTATGGCTACTTTCTTTTCTCTTTTTCACCTGTAAAATTAAGGAAGCGAAACGCAGGAAAAGTCTCTGAGAGAAAGGCACACATTCGCAGCAAGGGATATTCATACATGAGCTCTGGAGCACTGTCTCCCTGCAGGCCATACCAAATTATAGGAGTCCTCGATAATCCCCAGGGTTCAGTGGCTCTCAAATTTTAGCTCAATTCTAAATCACCTGATTGTTTGTTTACAACAGGTTGCTGGGCCTCCACCCCCAGAGTTCTTTAACCAGTAAGGCTTAGGTGAGGATGGATACTTGCCTTCCATCCCTGTAAGCATCATATTTCCAATCTCTACCAATACCAGACCTTACAAAAGTGATGTGTGCTGTATGAGGTCCAGGCACATCACTATCAAAGAACTAATTATTTTTACACAATTGTATGAAAAATGTACCCCTTTTTCTTTCTTGTGTCCAATGAAAACCATTGAACTTGAAAGGCAGTTCAGGACCTTGAGCTCCATAAAATGGAATAGGTACACTTCTCTCTATTGTTCCTACCAAGAAATATTAAACTTGCAATATTATATATATATGCACATACACACACATATAATAAACTGGCTGTGAGGGAAGGAGAGAGATAAGCATATCAGCTGGTGAACTTGAGACCTAAGGAATGTTGGAGCTGTGAGTTCATCATTTTTTTAAACTTTTATTTAATAATATAAATTTCCAAAGCACAGCTTTTGGATTATGGCGGCTTTTCCCCCCCATAACTTCCCTCCCATCTCCCACTCCCTCTCTCATCCCATTCACATCAAGATTCATTTTTCAATTATCTTTATATACAGAAGATCAATTTAGTATATATTAAGTAAAGATTTCATCAGTTTGCACCCACACAGAAACACAAAGTGTAAAGTACTGTTTGAGTACTAGTTATACTATTGATTCACATAGTGCAACACATTAAGGACAGAGATCCTACATGGGGAGTAAGTGCATCTGCTATTTAAAAGGTGAATTTAACTCAATCAACATGGCACAGCTGCATATTTTGGAGTAGCATGTTCTGAATTTCTTCAGTATAGTATTAGTATTAGTGGAAGTAGCTGTATGTGCCAATCATTTTACCTGTCATTGCATGCAAGGAAGGTATTATAAAACACTTTAAAAGTAGGGAAACTGGGCAGCTGCGGCAGGAGGAAGGTAGCAGCAGCATTGTGGCATAGTGGATAAAACCACCACCTGTGACACTGGCATCCCTTATGGGCACCAGTTCAAATCCTGGCGTCTCCAATTCCTACCAACATCCTGCTGATATGCCTAAGAAAAGAGCTGAAGATGGTCCAAGTCCTCGGGTCCTGCACCCATGTGGGAGACCAGGAAGAAACTCCTGGCTCCTGGCTTCAAACTGGCCCAGCTCCAGATGTTGCAGTCATTTGGGAGGTGAACCAGAGGATGGAAAAACCTCTCTCCCCCCTCCCCAACTTTGCCTTTCAAATAAACATATAAGGAAGCAGGAGATCTAATTAACATAATTTGAAGAGTTAAGAAAAATTTTTGAGATCACAAAGCTGCTAATTGACAGTACTGGATTCAAAATCACAGCTGCTAACCTCAAAGCCCATATTTCATTGAGCATACCGTATAATCTCTTAAAGACTAAATGCAGTAGTGTCGATAAAAGAATTTTATGTAAATGTAATAGACACTCAATGTTGACCCGGTCAGCACTACTTAGTGGAATTCATGTATACAGCCATCCCTTGTGCAGAGGTAGGAAATGTCAGGTCTGCAGGCCATATAAGGCTCAAAGAAATCATTTAATCTGGTCCTGCCAAGACAACCACAGGTGGAACTCAAACTTTGATAAATATATTACAGGCTAATTATTTAAGTTGATAATTTTGTATGCCTGTGAATGATACTGGATATATCCAAGTAGACATTTTTAGCAGAATTTCCTCACTGCTTAGAGGAATGTTTCTGGGATCTTATCATGTGGATACCAAATTTTGAATGCTGAAGTCCCTTGTATAAATGACATAGTATTGGCACAAAACTTACATGTACCCTCCTGTATGCTTTAAATCATATAACCTAGATATATCCTCTGTTATGCTTTAAATCATCTCTAAATTATTTATAATATTTAGTACAATGTAAATGCTGTATAAATAATTGTTCAATTGTTTAGATATAACAAAAAAACTGTGCATATTTAATAGAGGTACAATCCTTTAAAAAAATTTTCAATCCATGTTTGACTGGATCTGTGGATGCAGAGGTACATAAGTCAAGTGTATGTACACACATATCTTTTCATGTAAAGGCTGCCACCCAGAAATATCTTCTTTAATTTGGAAAAAGTCCGTGTTTTAATGTCATTTCTCATTTCACATGTACCCAATAGATATATTGTCCACTAATATGAATATACTACTATAGAAATGTAATATTTACATCCATTGGCTATCATATTCACTGGAATATTTATTGAGTGTCTTATAAAGATTCTTGGCTAGGTTTACAAAAGTAAGAAGAAATGCAAGGGTCAGTTACTCTCCTGTAGACCTAGAAACTTAAAGCATTTTTATTTCCAAACAAAATATAGTGGAATAAAACAAAATATGTAAATAAATTAACCTTAAATGGATAAATAAACCTCTGACTTAATTGCTATTCAATGCATTTTAAATAAATGAATTTATTTTATTTTATCACAATGAGAACACTTAACATGAAATCATCCTCTTAACAAACTTTTAAGCATATATTATTTTGACCACAGATAGGTACAATGTTGTCCAGCAGATATTTAGAGATTACTCATCTTACTTGATCCAACTCCCTGCAGTTGTTCCAGGAAGAGCAGTAAAAGATGGTCTAAGTGATTGGGTTCCTGCCACCCAGGTGAAAGACTGGGCTGAAATTCAGCTTTGGCCTGGTCAACCCCAGCCTTTCTGGCCATCTGGGGAGTGAACCAGAGGATGGAAGATCTCACTATCTCATCCTCTCTCTCTGTAGCTCTGCTTTTCAAATAAATAAGTAAATCTTTAACAACAACAACAAAAATCTTTTCTTGTGCTAACATTATGGTGCAGTGAGTTAAGCCTCCACCTAGGACACCAGCACACCATAAGATGCCAGTTCAAGTCCTGACTGCTCCATTTCTGATCCAGCTCCTTGCTAATGCATCTGGGAAAGCACCAGAAAAGATGGCCCAAGTGCTGGATCTCTTGCTATCCATGTGGAATTCTGGGCTCCCAGATTTGGCCTAGTCCAACACAGACCACTGTGGAAATGAACCAGCAGATGGAAGATCTCTCTTTCTCTGTCTCTCCTTCTATATCTGAAACTCTGCTTTTCAAATAAGTTTATTTAAAAAATATTTCCCTAATGAAACTAACCTATATAAGCTGGAGGATGTGACTGTTTCCTCAAATGCACAAAAACAAACACAAAGATACCAAGTCATAAACAAGCTGAGAAGATGACATCATCATAGGAAATTAACAAAATGTCATTAACTGACCCTAAAGAAATGGAGATGTGTGAATTTACTGCAAAAAATGTATAATTATCTTTTTAAGGAAGTTTAGTGAACTACAAGGAAACAAAGATAAACAACTTAATGATAGGAAGAAAACTGTATATGATAAAATTTTAAATTCAACACAGTAACAGAAACCATTAAAGAAGCACAGTCCTTTAAAACTTAAGAATGCAATGACTAAATCACAAAAATTCAACAGAAAGTACCAATAGCAGACTCAATCCAGCAAACAAAAGAATCTGAGAAACTGAAGACTTTTAGAACTCTCTAATAAAATGAAACAAAAAGAATGAGAAAGGGTGAAGAAAGTCTACAGGGTTTATGGGACACCATCAAAAGAAACAACAAATACGTAACATCTCACCAGAAGGAGAGGACTGAGAAAAGGAATAAAAATTTCACTTCAAGAAATTATGGCTAATACTCTCCGAATTTGGAAAGAGAAATGGACATCCATATTGATGACAATTCAAAGGTTGAATCTGAAAAGACTTGCTTTGGGACACATTATAAATGAATTTTTTAATTTTATTACTTTTTATTGTACACCAACTAGTTTATATTTTAGCTCTGAATTTTTGAAAATGAAAGACAAAGTGAATTTTGAAAGCAGCAAGAGAATAGAGATTTGCCACAAGCCTCCATAAAAGTGTAAGTGGGTTTCTTAGAGGAAACCCTGGAGGGCAAACCACAGATCTTAAGAAATTCACAATCACTCATATTAAGTATCATCTCCGTACATAATGTAATAAAACTATAAAACCAAATAGGAAGAATATTAGAAAATACACAAATATGTAGAAATTAAATAACATATTAATACTCTTGAAAAGACAATGACTTTAAAGCAGTAAAAGATGGCCCAAGTCCTTGGGCCCCTGCACCTACATGGGAGATCCAGAAGAAGCCCCTAGTTCCTGGCTTCAGCCTGGCCCAGCCTCATCCATTGCAGCCATTTGTAGAGTGAACCAGCACATGGAAGATTCTCTCTCTCTCTCTCTTTCTGTCTCTGTCTCTTCCTCTCTCTGTGTAATACTGACTTTCAAATAAACAAATAAAGCTTAAAAGAAATAAAACAACACTGTGAAGTAACGGATGTGTTAACTAAATCGTGGTAATCTTTTCACAGTGTGTGTGTGTGTATATTATATATATATACTCAGTAGGAAACAAAAACAGAAGAAAAAACTACCATGCATTGAAAATTACTATACTAAGGGAAAAGTAAGTGTGAGAGGGGCCAGAGAAATGGAATTAGATTATAATTTATAAATTTAATTCCATTTTTCAAAACGAGACTCTAACAAGACTTTTATTAACTGGAACTGTATTATTTTGATTGAATTTTTTGAAGAATCAACTACAAAAAAGGGTAAGATCATCTTTTGGTATCTGTGGAAGATCGACTCCAGGACCCTCACAGATACCAAAATCTGTGGGTACTCAAGTCCCTGATAGAAAAGTTGTATGTAGTTGTATATGTGATGGCGCACATTGTGGTGCAGCAGGTTAAGGTACTGCTTGTGGCACCAAAGTCCCGGCTCAAGTCCCGGCTGCTCTGTTTCTGATCCAGCTCCATGCTAATGCATTTGAGAAGGCAGTGGATGCTGGCCCAAGTAATTGTGTCCCTGACACACACGTCGGAGACCTAGATGGAGTTCTTAGCTCCTGGCTTCCACCTGACTCACCCTCTGCTATTGCAGGGATTTAGGGTGTACACCAGTAGATGAAAGACTCTCTCTCTCTATCTCTCTCTCTCTTCCTTTTTGTCATTCTGCCTTTCAGATAATTAGCTGAATCTTTAAAAACTATTGCAGATAATCTCCACATATCTTCACATATACTTGAAATATTTCTAGATTATGTATGATTATTAAAACAATGCAGATGCTAGGTTACTAGTTGTTATACTGAAGTGTTTAGAAAATAATGACAAGAGTCATCGCCACGGCTCACTAGACTAATCCTCAGCCTTGCGGCGCCAGCACACCGGGTTCTAGTCCCGGTCGGGGCACCAGATTCTGTCCCAGTTGCCCCTCTTCCAGGCCAGCTCTCTGCTGTGGCCAGGGAGTGTAGTGGAGGATGGCCCAAGTACTTGGGCCCTGCA